CATTTGCTAGAAAATTATGATTTTTGACTTCAATTTGTTCACAAAAAAAAAAGTTGCGCTTTCCAAACACATGCTCGATACAGAGCAATTGTGAAATCACAACACTAAACTTTTTCGTAGTTAAAAATCGAGCAGTTTTCTGTCCCAATTTGAAATAGTTGTATTCCAATCGCAAATTTAATCAATTTTCGGCAACGAATAAAGGTTGTGATTTCCTCCAAAAAGAAACCTAGAAACTTTTTTCACAACGAATTCTTCGTGAAGTTCTGACTTTTGTAAAACAATGTTGTACTGGTCACGAGGTAAAACTTAATTTAAGACTGGCGCAAACGAATATGTGAAATCACTCGTGGTCGTTTTCATCCACCCGGTCGCACTACTGATTCTCGCTGTGTCCGTTCAAGCAGCTTGAGAACCCAGCCGGGGTTCGACACGCCCTTACTGGACGTACACTCCACCACTCCACACGGCTGTGGTCTGTGGTAGAGGAGTGTGTGCGGCGATTCGGATGTGCTCGCGCACACGTACTGAGCAGGTCGCGTGCCCCAGGTGAGTTTAAGGTCGCGTAGTCACGTGACGCGAGTTAGCGGGGAGGTTAGAGTTCAATTGCCGTCGATGAGGATGAGAATGGCGTGCGCCTAGGCTAACACGTCACACACATTCCCCAACAAGTCCTCCCTATTACTGCTCGTTATTAGTGTTTTTACTAGACCTCCCGAAGCCCACCTAATGATGAGCACATGGTCATGGTTGACATAACATTTTATACTGTAATAATTAATAAAATCGATATTCATAGAGGGAATTCATTAAAAGGTTTCTCATTACATTTACAGCGATGATTTATTTCCTTGAACGTGTAAACATAATGAGTCCGAAAACAACAACAAAAAAAATAATAATAATTGAAAACAAGCGAAACGTAGAACACGAAATTAGTTTTATGTTTCATAGCGCCTGGTAGGTAGGCAACATCTTTCCTCTAGTGCATGTGTGTACCACGGGGTGGCCTACCCTAATTTTCGCAGGCGCCGGGCACTCGTAACTTAATGAATGATAACATAGATCTAAGAAACGGGTCTACTATCTTAACAACCCCTAATAAAGACAAGGACTGACGGTTCTCAGAGCAGTTCTTCAGAGTCAGTGTCATCGCACAGGTACTCACTTACTGTTTAGCGTCACTGTTGCAGTGAAGTGGTCCTTTACCCTTGTATTACCTTAAATGTACCAACGTGCACTATTTGCAAAGGCTGACGAATGAGTAAACTATCTTACCTTCGAAAATCCTAGGTTGGGGGTTGGATCCAGATGGACCTCTGGCCGCTTCATAACTGCAACAGACCAAGAGCGAAACATGAAATTATTAAGTCTGCTCTTTAGCATCAGTTAACTTTATATTTTTGGGAAACTCAATTGTAAGCGAGGGGGCCTCGATGCTGACCAGCTCTCGTAAACTGGTGTACATTAACCCTGACAATCTTCGAAATCTTTGGCAATCTTTTGCTGGTAGCAATTCTTTCTGCCTACATAAAGAGTGAAAGTGCTGCATTTGGCCTATCTTCAGCCATTTCTGACAAAATGTTTTAATTAGCAATTTATCAGTCTTCGCAGTGAGGTGTACACGATCAAAGAGAGTTGAGGCCCCCTCGATTTAAACAACATAAGAGCGAGTCAGTAATGTCAGCATCAACTCGTAGATAACATAAATAAAACTGTCGACTATAGACAAGTTTCAGGTGAGGTCGTCTCACTTCATTTCTTCCTAAAAAATGGGAGGAGGGTGCAGAATTATTTGTAAGCTGTGTATGTCCACAAAAATTAAGTGTGCACCAAATAAAAATCAAACGAAATAATTGTAAAAAAAAGTCGACAGCAGACACACACAGCAGTAGTTTATCATTAGAAAAGGTTATTATTAATCTCATATTCTTCACAAGTTAGATTGGAATGCCTATTATTGCTAGCGATTGAGAATTCTCACATAATTATGTAATTGTAAGGATGGATTTTATTACATCGACGTTGTAAAACAAGTAAATAAGGTTCTGGAGTATCCTGGTATGGATGACTAAATATTGGTACCGATTGGATCTGAAGACGCATTTTGAAATATTACGTCACAAAACAAAGGAATGCGTTTCTTTCAGTGCTACTGTCATACTACTGCTCGTTCTCCCTTCCGACCCATCCCCTGGTCCCAGACAAAAAACGAATTTCATACGCGGCCTGATGTAAGTATACTTATCACTAGTCATGCAGTGCAACAACAAAGTAAATAACGGCAAACACGATTGGGAAACGGAACCCCACCGCGGCAGGTGCAATGCAGGCAGGGCTACGCTCTCCCGAATCGGGCAGTCGGCGGGAGAGGCCGGGCAGTGTCGGGGGTCAAGTACCCCCATGCCCACTTACCCCGCTCAACTCACGCGATAGCCCTATTAGATCGGCTCGCTACTTCGTTGTCTCCTCTGATAGTGGGCTAACTCTTGTTGGCTCGTGCCGTATTTTGTACACGCAGATAGCTAGGTTATAGTTTTAAGAAAAATCAACAAACAAAAACGCAATCCTTCCTTAGACTGTCGTCGAAAAAAAGCAAACAAGAAACGATAGTCTCCACATTTCACACCATACATTTTCTAATGAAGCAGCTTGGGCTTGTCAATAACACTGCAATAAGTTTGACGGCCAAAGGCAGCGGCAGGACTCTCTCTAGCCCGCAGGCAACAAATCGATGGCGATCCGACTGCGTGAATGACAGCTCGGTAATCCGGCGAACGTAATTCACGTCTGCCATCCTGCCAACACAGCACCACAAAGTAAATACTAACGCCCCTTCTCCCCCTCTCCAGGCGCGTCTACAGCAGAGGACTGGAAACACAAGCGCGCGACCTTATGATTCTTCGCATGTGACAGGGAGAAGTACCATAAGAGCCAGTGGGGAAAATGCTTGCACTCTAAAGAGATTGACATTGGCTCATCCTGCGCGGAGAACCGTAAGTAGAAATCTGAACGCGGCTATGCTATGGCTGTCGTGCACAATAGAGGAGAGTGGCCCGACACGGACACCGTAATGAAGTGCCTTGTCGGGTCGCCAATAAACGCCCATCTGATGGAAGCAAGCACTGGGCTATGGACGGCGAACGAACCGACTGCTGGAACATCATTCACTCGAACGCCCTACACTTTTCATGATATCGTCGCTGGGAGTCGTACGCAGAACTATCTCTAACAGTCATATAAGAAAATGCACCAGTCCTCTTAGCGAATATTCCTTTTCTTTATAAAAATCAAAAACTTTTACAAAAAAAAAAGAAAGACGTGCACAACGTTGTTTGTTTACATGTGTGAAATATTATAAATATTTTCTAAATTTGGTGTCCGACATAAAGTAAAGTATAGAAATAAAGAGTTTCTTTAACGAGTGAAGGAGACGTATATAGAAAAGAATGGGAGGTAAATGGGAAGGAAGAGAGTGAAAGTGTGTGTGTGTGTGAGTGTGTGTCTGTGAGGGAGAGAGAGACAGATGGAGAGGGGGAGGAGAAATAAAGTGAAGGATGACGAGGTCTTCGGCCCAATTAGTGAGCCATAAGGCTCCTCAAATGGAGGATTAAAAATCAATCAAGTCGTGCGCTGGTCGCCCCGCAGCAAGAATAAAAAGGGGTCCACTCCGTGTTAGTGGGGGCGTTACTGGTTCTTCTTCCTCAGGAAGTGCAGAGTGACAATGCGGATCCCATTCAATACCTCTTCTCCCAGGGGAGGGTATCTTAAGCCGAGAGGTCCTCCGGCCATATTGTAAAAGAGCACCACCAAAGGGCATTGACTATTCACCGGGGTTAGCCCAATAAAGTCCTTTCACCAAGAGGGACACTATAATGCTTATTGGCTTACTTCAGGCACCTTATAGTATATACTAAAGTATAATGCAGAAAGGAATCATATTAATGGTGTTTTGTTAAAATATCTCTGAAAACAGTTGTACTTGTGACAAGTATTGCAATGCTAACAGGAAAAGGACATAGTTATTTTCTGTAGACAAAGATAGTCGCGGAACACATATCAATACCAACAATACAGTGCAATAAAAAATTCTGAGGCAAACGCAAACGTAAATGCATTTCGCCTCGAAGAGTGTTGGTCGTCTTTGATAGCGGGAGAGTCGATAGATAGCCGAGTCGGAGAGTTAGTAAAGACTAAGCCGGAGAGAAAGACAGCAAATAAGAGTGAGGGAGAGAGATGGTGGAGAGATGTGGGTGGCATGCGAGAATCGACCTTGTGGGCTGGTAGACCTAACCGGTCAGAAGAAGAGCGATCCCGTTCAGTGCGTCCCCCTCCCCTTCCCCTCTCCTCCCTTTCCCAATCCCCCTTTTAATCCTCGGATGGACACCAGACCGATACTTTGACGAAGCTCAAAAACCGATGCATGATCGGTTTTGAAACCTTTGTCATAAGATATCATAAAGGGGTCGTGTTTACAGACAGGCAAACAGACAGACGCGAAACTTTTTGATCAGGAGGCGTCGCTATCGCTCAACCAATAATAAAATAAAATGAATCGATGCATACAGAAAAGATGACAACACGTCTTGGCCAACAATAACTGCTTTTCTTCGTACTTCGTGTTCATTTCGGTTATTTCACGACTGCTCGATTGTAAATACCATTGCAAATGAAGCAATGTATTAGAAACACCATCATTATTTAGCGCTTGAACATTCAACAGTCGTGGGTTACGGACTGAAGAGAATCGGGTGTTTGGGGAACTAACAATGTAGTTACAGGTCTCCTGTTTGTTTGAGAAACCCTCGGTGCGGTCAGTCCGAGCTGGCTGGGTCCGGATGCGATCCAGATGCATTCAGTAAAATGACGCAATGATAGGGCCTGCGGTCTGAACAACGTCCGGTCGTCATGTACGTCATGTCCTCGTCGTACTCATCACCCAAGTAACCAACCAGGAGAACGGCGGCCGCTTGCTGTCCCCACTGCAGTTGGTTCTCTCTTTACCAAGGCATAGGTATACCAGGTGGCTGGCTCACGCCGCGCACTTATATTCCGTACTTAAACTGGACGCATGCACGCATGCAGGCAGGTGGCCTACTCGCACGGGGCCATAAGGAGTCGCACGAAAGTGCAGGGCGTGAGTCAGCCATCTGGAAGGTAGATGAGAAGCGAAATACTCTACAAAAATCGAGGGTGAGTGGACCTGGACAGAATATGAACACACCGAGAAAACCGCTCAGAAACAATACAAGACGATACTAGGCAACATACTGTACGAGACAGTCCGACACTATCGGACACAGTTTTCAAAAATACATATGTTGCAAAGTGGGAATGCTCGTCTTTATCAAGTTAATTTTTGAAAAGTCTGAAAAATGCTTCACTTTTTAAACTGAGGACAAAAATGTGTGCACATTTTGCACCCGTGTCTCAAACCCTTTTCCTTGTCAAATATTTAATGTTTATTATTACATTACTCAGGAGTTTCCAAATACCCCCCCCCCCCCTTGGACACCGAGACAAGCGCACGCACACACACACACAATTGAAAGCGGGCGAGATCCGGCGGTAGTTGTAGGAGGAAGCTCTGCGCCGCTTGCGCCGCCCGTCCAGCCCGACCCTGTGGTCCTGGCCCACAACGGAAATCCAAACGATCCAAACAATGCAGGCAACAATATGACGATTCGAATCAAACGGACAATGCGGAGTGATCTCTGATCCTCAGACGCGGCGGCCGCACAGAGCACCACAGACCGACCGCCAGACCGCAAGAAGGGTAATCGGCGTGGAAGCGTGCCTCGCTGGGGCAGGCGGCCCCACTGGGCCGTACCGGTCAGCCTAGCGGTGCCTCGCGCCCGCTCATTGGCTAGATAGATTCCCCTACCAATCGACCAATCATCTCTCAGTTTCAGTTTTTGGCACTCCCTTCCTGAACAGTGTGGTGGCTGTGGTGGTGGTGGTGGTGAGGTTGTTCCACAAACCGCTGTTAGAATTTATTTTACAAAAAATGACAATGATTTCGTGGCTATCGCAGTTTTGAAGCAAATGTGTCACATTAATATTGATTTGGATAGTTTAAAGGGTGCTCGTAAAGTTATGGAAACGACGATAATGTTAACTTGATCATTTTACCTTTTATTCTGAGTTTCCTGTTCGATCAGTATCTCAATATCAGGTTTAGGTCAAAGCGTTTTGAAGCCAGGCGGGTGAGGGCCCACAGTTCACACAATACCCGTTCCAGCGAAATGCAGAACAGTGCACCGTGGAGTTCCAGTAGCCGCGCCACGGAAATCGGCGCCGACCATCGGGCCACCCAATGCAAATTTCCGGGAAT